CGCGATGCGAGCGGCGCGGCGCGGCCGTACAGCTCCCGACCCGGACGCGGCGCCTCGCGCGCGGCGCGCGGCCCTCGATGCGACGGCGGCACTACCCTCGCGGCCGGAGCGCGATGGCCTGCCCAGCGAGGCCTCCAGCGCTGGGAGGCGTGCTGGGCCGCCGCATCGGCGCCGGCTTCGGGTGTCGCCCGGATCGTGAAGTCGCCAGACTCGGAATCGGCATCTGCACGCGGCCGAGCGAAATCACCGACGCGAGCAACACCGAGCATCATGCGATCGATCGTACTCATCCTCGCCCTCGGGCTCGGATGTGGCGGCGAGGCGAGAGCCCGCAAGCGCCGGGAGTACACTGTGCCGGCGCCGGCCCACACGCCCCCCGGCGCGGCGCCCGAGGCGTCGACGCCCCCCAAGCAGACCGGCCGCCCGCGCCGCGCGGCGTCCGGGTCCCCCAAGCGACCGTCGCCCGCGGCGGCGTACGGGGGGCCCGCGCGCCCCTCGCGCGCGGCGCTCGAGGCGCGCGCCGGTCGGGGGCGGCGCGCGGCCGCCGCCGACGGCCGCGCGCTCCGGAACTGGGGCGACGACGAGGAGGACGAGTGCGCGAACCCGCGCGACTATTGGCGCTGCGACGCCGAGGACGCGCGCTACGAGTGGTACGACGACGCCGGCTGCAAGGACAAGTCGTCGACCCCGAAGTGCAAGAAACTCAAGACCAAGGATGAGTGCAAGGCGAACAAGAAGACGTGCGAGTGGAAGGGCGACAAGTGCGAGGACAAGTCGTCGACCCCGAAGTGCAAGAAACTCAAGACCAAGGATGAGTGCAAGGCGAACAAGAAGACGTGCGAGTGGAAGAAGGACAAGTGCAAGGACAAGCCGTCCAAGTCGTCGACCCCGAAGTGCAAGAAACTCAAGACCAAGGATGAGTGCAAGGCGAACAAGAAGACGTGCAAGTGGAAGGGCGACAAGTGCAAGGACAAGTAGACCTCTGCCGCGGACGCGCGCGCGTTCCGTCGACGGCGCGAGGCTACGGACCACGGCGATGACAAGCTATACCGCCGGCGCTACCCCCCCCCCCCCCCCGCTACTACTGCGATAAGAGCGCGTACCTAAGCCATGTGCTCCCGAAGGCCTCCTCGAACTGGAGGCTACTCGGCCTGTTGAGATGCCTCGCGGCCAAGCCCTCCGACGAGTAGCCGTCCGAGAGACGAGCCTGAGCCCCGGCCCTCGGCCCCGAGACGAGCGAGCCCCCGCCCAGAAACGAACCAACACCCTCCCCCACCAAGCCAGCGCGAAGCCGCTACAAGTAAGCACATGGTTCTCAGACGTGTACGCATGCCGTCGACCTCGCGCGTCGCGCCTTCGAACTCCAACGAACTTGTTCTTGAACTTCAAGCTGCGGAAGCCCAGTGCTTCTTATGCGCATGCGCCTCCTCCTCTGGCAGGGGGCTCTGGGGCTCCTCATACTCTTGCCGGGGGCTCTGGGGCTCGTCATGCTGCGCGCGCCCGCGTCGCGGTCGTCGTCGACGCGGCAGTTCGGGCGCGTCGTCGCGCGCGAGGGCGTCGTCGAGCAGCTCCTGTCCCTCGAGGCGGAGCGGCGCGAGCTGCGCGCGCGGCTCAAGGCCAACGAGGAGCGGCAGCGCGCGCTCGCAATGGGCGCGGACGTGGAGGATGCGGCGCCGCGAGCCGCGGCCGCGGCCGACGCCTGCGAGACCGCGCCGAGCGCGTGGGCCGAGGCGTGCGACGTCGACGACGTCGACGGCGGCGCCGCGGCGCCGAGGCGCGGCGCCGCGGCCGACGAGTCGCTCGGCGACTTCGCGCGGGGCGCGGCGAGCCGCGGGAGCTGGCTCGTGGGCCTCCTCGCCGCGCAGTCGCTGAGCAGCCTCGTGCTCGAGCGCAACGCCGACGTCATCCAGCGCCACCCGGTCATCGTCGGCCGCGCGGCGCCCGCGCGTCCTCCCTCCCTTCCGACGCGCGCGTTTCAGGTCTTCTTCCTCACGATGCTCGTCGGCGCCGGCGGCAACGCGGGCAACCAGGCGGCCGTGCGCATCATCCGGGGCCTCGCGGTCGGCGCCGTCGTGCCGGGCGAGAACGGCCTCAGCTTCGTCGCGCGCGAGGCGAAGATGGCCGTCGTGCTCGCGGTCGCGCTCGCCGCCGTGGGCTTCCTCCGCGCGCGCCGCCGGCGCGCCGCGCGCGCCGCGAATTCCCCGACGGCCGCGCGCGCGCGCGCAGGTCTCCGCGTTCTCCGAGGGCACCGTCGCCGAGGCCGGCGCGATCACGGTCGCCCTCTTCCTCATCGTCGCGTTGAGCGTCGTGCTCGGCGCCGCGCTGCCCATCGCCCTCGAGAAGGCGGGCCTCGGCGCGTCGAACGCGGCGACGTCGATCCAGGTCGTCATGGACGTGTCCGGCGTGCTCATCACGTGCGCCGTCTGCGCCGCGCTCCTCGAGGGCGGGGCCCTCGGCGGCCTCGCGACGTAAGGGCGTCTATTACGGGAGGTGGTGCTTCGACGACGCGGAGCCGCCGCCGAAGAGGCTGCCGAGGCCCGACGTCGGCGACGCGTCCTCCTTGTCCGGGTCGACGTAGCGGCCCCGGTGGAAGTCGCCCTCGACGTACTCGGAGTTCGACGACGTGAAGACGCCCGCGCCGTGGGGCTCGCCGTCCTCCCACTCGCCCTCGTAGTGCTGGCCGTAGGCGCCCGCGAGCCTGCGGTCGCGCGCGCGCGCGTCGGCCGCCGCGGGGCGCCGCGGCGTCGCGGGGGCGCCGGAGCGCGCTCGCCGCGGCCCTCGCGGCGGCCGTTGACGTAGGCCCCCGTGTACTTCTGGCCCTCGGTCCAGGTGTAGACGCCGTCGCCCGTGAGCCGGCCCCCTTTGAAGTGGCCCTCGTACCTCTTGCCGCTCCGCCACGCGTAGACGCCCTTGCCGTGGAAGGCGTGTTTCGCGAAGGCGCCGCTGTACGTGTCGCCGGACGGGAACGTGAGCTTGCCCTTGCCGTGGAACATGTTCGCGGCGAAGGCGCCCTTGTAGGTCGCGCCGTTCGCGCGGAGCACGCCCCGCCCGTGCATGGCGCCGTCGACGAAGGCGCCCTTGTAGGTCGTGCCGTCGGGCAGCTTGAGCACGCCCTTGCCCTGCGCGCGGTCGTCCGCGAAGTCGCACTCGAGCGACCCGCCCTTTGCGAACGTGTACGTCCCGCGCCCGGCCATCGCGCCTGCGCGCGGGGGCGGGTCGGATCGCGCGCTCGCCGGCGGAAGACGGAGCGGGGGCGCGGCGGGCCGCGCCGTCGACGGCCCAGCCGTCGAAGCGGTCGCCCGGCGGCCAGTCGAAGACGACGTTCGAGCCGCCGGCGCCGCCGAGGCCCGGCGGCAGCTTCCGGAGGCCGAGCTCGACGACGCGCGGCGCGTAGTGCGGGTCCGCCGACGCCTCCTCGGAGCCGCCGCCGGGCGCGGGCGCCGGCGACGCGGCGGGCTCCCCGGCGTCGGCCGTCGCCGGCCGGCTGTGGCGCTCGACCTCCTTCTGGAGGAAGGCCGTCATGCCGCCCACCTACACCACCTCGGCGTCGCGCCGTCGACCGAAAAGCCGGCGGACGCCGCCGCCCACGCCGACATTCATCTTCTCGAGCTCGCAGCGCACGACTCTCTCAACACACAACAAGGAGCGGGCTGCCCGAGCTTCCCATCGGCGCTGGCCGCACAGCACCTTGGCGGCAAGTTGGCGTCAGCATCAGCCTTGGCTGCGCAATGGAGGCTCTACCGAGGGAATGCAAGACGAGCGACGCGACGCTCATGACGCGATGAATTGCGCCAGCACCATGTCGGCGACCTACGTCGTCGTCGGCAGCGGTCCCGCGGGCTGCGCCTGCGCCGCGAGCCTGCTGCGGTGCGACGGCGACCCGGCGACGACCGTCATCGTCCTCGAGCGCGGGCCGCGCCTCGGGCGCGACGCCACGTCCAGCGGCGCCTTTCCCCGGGCCCTCTTCGCCGCGCCGCCCGGGGGACGCGCGCCCTACGTCGCCGCCGCGGCGCCGCCGTTCGCGGGCTGCGCGTGGAGCGGCACCGTCGCGGCCGTCGGCGGCGGGTCGGCGCTCAACGCCGGCGGCCTCTTCCACGACGCGGCGTACTGGGGCGGCGGCTGGGGCGGCGGCGCCGCCTGGGCGCCGGATACCATGCGCCGCTGCGCGCGCGCCGCGCTCGCCGCGCTCGGGGGCCCGGGGCCGCCGCCGCCGTCGGCGGCCGCGCGCGCGTTCCTCGACGCCGCGGCGCGCGCGGGCTTCGCCGTCGCGCCGGGCGCGCCCGTGGACCGCGAGGCCTGGGAGGTTTGTGCCGCGGGCCGCGGCGCCGCGTTCGCGCCGCGCGTCGCGTTCGCCGCCGGCGGCGCGCGGCTCGACGCGCCGCGGCTCCTTGCGGGCGACGGCCGCGCGACGGTCGCGGCGGGCCGCGCCGCGGTCCGCGTCGCCTTCGACGGCGCCGGCCGCGCGGCGGGCGTCGTCCTCGCGGACGGCGCGACCGTCGCCGCGGCGCGCGCCGTCGTCGTCGCCGGCGGCGGCGAGGCGACGGCGGCGCTCCTCGCGGCGAGCGGCGTGCGCGCCCGGGGCGGCGGCCTCCGGGACCACCCGGCCGTCGCCGTGCCCGTCGTCTCCGCGGCGCCGCGGCGCCGCGCGGCCGCGGCG